TCCAAATATATTCATGATTCTAGATGCTTTGAGCCCCTAGAAACTATAGAGACGAATGACATCCACAGGCAGTTTTGCCTTGGCTCACTCACTGGGTAAGTCAAAGACCGCCTTCAGTCTTTCTCTCTTGGTTATCCCTTCCTCTGCTCTTTCTACATGGCTAGCATGGACATGCCTCAAGTTTCGTTTTCTGACCCTTAACTCTTCTTGTTTATTATCTTCAGAAAATATGTTTATGTTCAGGACTTCAGGAATCACCTTAATCATAAGTATATTGGGAGAATGAAAATGAACTTACGTAGTCCTACGCCCCAAAGCAATGTGTTTATCTAAGTGGGGGAGGCCTATAGGTGATGGGGAGGAAGGCAGCAAATCACACTGCCATGTGTGTACCTATGCAACAGTCTTGCATGTTCTTCACATGTACCCCAAAACCTAAAATGCAATAAAAAAAAGAAACGTGATGTAGCTTCCAAATATCCACGGAAATAATTATGTATAATGTAAAGCATAACATGTATATACTGCCTTGGTGAAAGTAAATTTTGCCAAATTATGTCAAGCTAAGAAATAAGGAAATAAAAGTCATTCGTTCATCTTAACAAATATTCCTTGAGGCCTGTGCCAGTGCTCCATATTAGTCATCTAGTACCAAAATGCAGAATAGCAACTCATCCCTCAAACCAGTGATTTAAAGCAATACATATTTATTTAGCACATAATTCTGAGGGTCAGCAATTTGAGCTGGGCTCAGCAGGGCAGCTCTTCTAGTTGTGGCTGGGCTCACTCATGCACTGCAGTCAATTGCTGTGTTGGTTGAGGATTGGATAGACTGTGATGGCCTCCAATTAGAGAGCTTATCCTTGTGCATCATGGCCTCTCATCTGGTAGTAGATTATCAAGGCTACTTCTCAAAGTGCTAGGCAGTGTTCCAAGAGAGCGTGTGGGAATGTGGATGGGGTCATTAAGGCTTGGACTTGCAAATGGCACAATATGACTTTCATCGTTTTCTGATGGTCAAAGCAAGTCAAAGACTAGCCCAGACTCAAGGAATAGTAAAATAGATTTAACTTTTGTGATGGGAGGAGCTACCAACTCAAATTGCCAAGATTATGAATATAGAGAGAGGTGGAGAATTAGGACCATTCTTACAAGCAGCCCATCATACCTCTTTACATCTATTCTCTACCCTTCTCCACTCTAATTTCTACCCAAAGGATTGACCTATATGGGCTGTATCAATGAAGTCCCATGTTCATGGCCTTCTGAATGGACATAGCCAGTGGGAAACTGGAGAGAGGGAAGATTGGAGCAAGTAAAAAGGTAGTGCCTTTGTTACCTGGTTTCCTAAGGCTGGCTTTTTCAGGCACAGAAGATCAGTGCTCCTCTCAAGTTGGTACCAGAGGTAGATGCCAGGTATTAATGGGGCCTGGGACAGTGTGGAAATGTGGGGCTGGGATGTGTTCTTCTAGTTGGCTTGGTTATAGATGATCTTTCCAAGGAGTGGAGGGTTTTAAACAGATCTGAATGCTGTGAGAAATGAGCCATGCAGGAAAATAAAGACGTGGGAGTAAAGCACTCCAGGCAGCGGGAACAGCCTATGGACTGTGCTGTAGACAAGACCCTTCACCCATCACAGTTGCTGGCAGGACATCTGGTGAGTATGCTTCCATCCTCTCACTCAGCATCTTACCAAGTTAAAACAGTCATCTTTTTATTCTCCTGTAATTCTCACGGTCCTAGTTCATCATTCTTAGGATTTTCTGCATTAGACACTTTACATTCAATTTTGGCCTTATTCTGATTCAGTATTTGTTTATTTTTACATGTGATGAATTAACTTAGAAACTGAAGTTCCTTGTAATGCAGAGATTCTATGAGCTACCTTCACCTTATCCGAAATACATAATAGACACAACCACATAGCTGTAATAAGAATTGAGACAATACAAATGAATCTGTTTAGCATGATTTCTGGTACGTAGACAATGCCCAATAAACATTCGTTTCTTTGCATGGATACACAAAACATTTTAGAATACATTTTGTTAATTCATTTGTAATTATTTTTGTATCAAAGTGTCTGGGCTCAGAAAATAATACCCTAGAATGAAGGCCTCAGAAGCCGAAGTTTTTCTCTGGACTTCTCCGACCCACCTGTCTCTGGCTCTTCATTCTTCCCAGAGGCTAGCAGTACAAACTAGAATCCCTCGTCTCCAAGGCAGATCACAGAGCAGAACGCTTCCACATCCAGCCATTAAACCTAAAATTATTATTCTAACTTTCCATCTGCTTCTCTGTGTAAAAACTGGCCATAAAAAATTATCTGACCCATCATGTTTGACTATGGGTCATAAGACCCCCATTCAGAGAGGGATCTGTTCCACATTAAGAAGGCAGGAAGACATGCTCAGAGAGGCCAAGAACATCTAGACAGACAGACCTTGTGGTGTTTCCCATTCAATCTATTAGCATTAGATCGTAACTTTTTTTCCAGTCCTTCTCTTCTCTTCTTTTCTTTTCCCTTCCTTCCTTATTTCCTTCCCTCCCTCCCTTTCTTTTTCTCTCTCTCTCTCCCTCCCTCCCTCCTATCCCTCCCTTCCCCCTCCCTCTCTTTTTCTCTCTCTCTCCCTCCCTTCCTCCCTTCCCTCCCTCTCTCTTTCTCTTTCCCCTCCCTCTTCCCCTCCCTCCTTCCTTCCTTCCTTCCCTCCCTCCCTACTTCCTTCCTTCCTTCCTTCCTTCCTTCCTTCCTACCTACCTGCCTTCCTGCCTTCCTGCCTTCCTCCCTTCCTCCCTTTTTTTTGAGATGGAGTTTAGCTCTTGTTGCCCAGGCTGAAGTGCAACAGTGCAATCTCGACTCACTGCAACCTCTGCCTCCCACGTTCAAGCTATTAACCTGCCTCAGCCTCCTGAGTAGCTGCAACTACAGGCACCTGCCACTATTCCTGGCTAATTTTTGTATTTTTAGTAGAGACAGGGTTTTGTTATGTTGGTCAGGCTGATCTCCAACTCCTGATCTCAGGTGATAGGCCTGACTCGGCCTCCCAAAGTGCTGTGGTTACAGGCGTGAGCCACCGCGCCTGGCCAATTTCTACACAGCTGTCCACACTTTGTTGAACCTAAAAATCAAAATGGACAGTTTCCCCTGTCACATAAAACTGTGATCAAACAAATAAATCCATGTGGTTTTTCTCTATTAATCTGCCTTTGATCAGTAATTTTCAGCAAACCTTCAGAGGGTGATGGGGGAGTGTGTCCTGTGTCCCAAGATGAATATGTACATAGCCTTGCTGCAGCAGATGCTGTCAGGGCCTCACTCAGTATCTGTGGATCTGCACCGTTTCCATGTGGTCCCCATCAGTGCTGACTGACACTGTCCCCATCTCTGCGCCTGAGTGCTTTCTTTCTAGAACCGCAGCAGGCTTAGAATGGTGGGCTGCAAGTGCTGGAAAATTAACAACTCTCTGGGAGTCGCCCTCAGCTAACACCTAATAGGGATTGGCATAGAAATAGCCCCCAGCTCCCTTGCTTCTCACTGGGGGTACATATGTTTTCCAGTTTCTCCTGGGAATGAACTGCCCTTGCTTGCTGTGGTGTGCTGGTTTAACCACCTAGTCTTTCTGGTTCTCATCCCGCATTATATCATTTCTTCTCCCCTCTGGCAGCTGTGCCCTGCACCACTCAATTGAATACATGCCTCCAAATCCTGGTTCCACGTCTACTTCTAGGGGGACTCAAACTAAGATAATAACAGTTAAGCAACCAGAATCTCCTGGTATAGAAGCCAAGGACTCCATTCCTGCAAGTCTTACTCTTCAGGGACACATTTTATTCATTTTCTCAGTTTTAATGTCTTCAAAACTTCAGACGGAATGCTTGTATCTCTGTTTCTCGATTAAAATATTTTGACAATATCCCCAGACTCCCTCATGAGAGGTGAATATTTATTCAACTTGTAATACCATCCTCCTTCTTCAGTATTTGACATACGCATTTTAATATTTGGTTCTTATATTGGCTACATTCAATTTTAAAATAATATATTTAAACATTTCTCTATTGCTCAAGAAGGCAACTTTACACAGTGTACATGAACACCCTAGTTAGTAAAGTGTGGGGAATCCCCCACCTTCCTTACCCACACTCCCATTACCCACTTTCTGTCAGCTCCACGTTCATTCTACCTGCGCCAAGGTTGTTGCTTTCCGTGCTTTATCCAAAAGCACGTGGAGACTGCAAGATTGTTAAATATTAACAATCTTGACAGTAAAGGTGGAGTTGGCAGACATTAGGTAAATATATAAAATCACATGGGATCGTGTTTCCATTTCTATAAGCCCAGAGTCATAATTCCTGGCCACTCAATATTTAGGAATATTTAGAATATTCCTAAAGTCCAATGAGCTCTTTTATTGTAGATTCCATCAATTGCTTAAAATCATACCACATTTAAGTCTGTCCTACTGTCATTGAATCATGGCCTTTTGGCAGGTTTGGGTTTTGTGTGTGTGCGTTCTTTGTTTTGTTTTTAGGAGTATCTCGTTGCCTATTTTTTTAAATTTGTTTACCTTTATCATGTCCTCATTAGTTTTCACAATAGCTCAGTCACATGCCCTGTTCCCAGATTCTTTTTCTTCTTGGAGACATTCCTACTGCCAAAAGGATGAAGCCTGAGTTCCAGTAAACCTCTGGATGGAGCTGCTGATGTGCTGGAGATCCAGGAGGCGCAAAATCGTGGTGAACGCACCATGACAGTGCCCTCAGCAAAGTCCAGACGGTAAGACATTAAGGTTAAATGTCTTCTTCAGCAGATAAATTATAAGAAAAAGAAAGTGACCAATGATTTGTGTGTGTGTGTGTGTTTATAATGGGAGAAGCTAAATTCTAGTGTTGGGGCACACTTTTGTGATAAAACCATAAAGAAATGTGATGAAATGTGTTCTAGAACATGAAGACAGTGATTTCTTTTGGGGGGGGCAGGGCGCCAGGAGGGGAAGGTACTCATGCGGGGCTTGTCGGGGGAAGGGGCTGGTAAATCTCTCTTTTGACTTGGGTGATGTTTTACAGAGATGTTATCCATTTAGTAACTCGCTGAGCTATTTGTGTATATATTTTTCTGGCTTTCTATGTGTGTGTGTCTGTGTATGTGTGTGTTTATTCAATACATGTTTTGAGAAAAAAGAAAGAATTCCAAAAAAGAGGCTGATGTGAAAATAATATTTCTAACAAAGTGTAAAGAGGGTTTAAGCAGCATTAAAGTAATTTTGTTGTGATAATAATACATACAAATGTGAATATAAATTATCTTATTAATGACTCAGTGAGTCTATCAACAAATGTCTACCATTTTAGAATATCTTTTCTGTTCTATGGGATGTGGAATAATCAGAGGCACAGGATACATTTTCTTTGTTAGAGAGTTTACAGATAACAGAAAAGAATCACGTGTGCATGCGTGTGTGTGTGTGTGTGTGTGTGTGTGTGTTTTAGAGACATATTCTCACTCTGTCACCCAGGCTGGAGTGCAGTGGCGTGATCACAGCTCAACGCAGCCCCAACCTCCTGGGATCACGCCATTCTCCTGCCTCAGCCTCCTGAGTAACTGGGATTACAGAAGTACACCACCATGCCTAGCTTGATTTTTATACGGGATAAAAGGAAGAGACTGTGAAAATTTGGAAGATTTTGCTTTATTCTGCTAGTTTGGTGGAGTGGGGAGTGCTACATGAATATTTAGTAATCTGGGCCTTGGACAAGATGATTAAGAAACAATAATACAGTAACCTGTTCAACTCCTGGAGCTGTCACTGAGCCAAGAGGTATGTTTGCTTGAATGATTTAACCTCTATAAGTGTTAACATTCTTGTCTGTAAAATGGAAATGGTCTCTATCCCTAACCCTGATGAGAAATGAGAGAGCTCTTTCCAAACTTTTCTGGATGTTTCTTGGAACCACGATGCAAGTTTAGGTGCCAGCTTGAGGGGTTGTGGTTGTTTTGGGGGACAGAAATGATTGGAGGCATGTAGGCAGCAAACAGAGAGGCTGGGGGAGCAGCCTGTAAAACACAGTGGGCCCATTCTTATCTCTCTTTGCTCACTGGCAGAGCAGGAGGAGGCCTGGTTGACTGGAATACTGCTACCCCCCTGCCCACCTCATTTATTTTGCTTTGCAGTCTCCTTCCATGTTCCCATACACATAAAAAAAAACAAAAACCTGTGTATGTGCTCAGGTAAGTGCACTTTGGCAGGAGAAGACCAGCCTGGAGTCTAAAGCCACCCCATGGGCTGAAGGGATGCGTGTCTCACCCACACGGAGCCCTCGCCACGGGTGGCAGGTGAGAGGTTCTGGTCTAACTTACAGCAGAAATAATAATGTACTCAACTCAAAGCAAATGTTTGAAAAGCAGGAACTCAACTTTTTAAATGACATTCTCTACCTTCCAGTGAATGATGTAATTTATCAGGTTTTCTAGACCTGAGATGCTGAAGCCATCTTGCCCCAGCTCTCAAGAGCCACGTGTGTGCATGTCCTCCCAAATGGGCCACACACTGGGGCCTAACACGGCGGAATTATTTCCACCACAGAGATGGGCAAGTGCTCGATAGGGGCTTCTTTCTTCTTTAAAATCTTATTAAACATTCACCAGCACCCCAGAAACCAATATAAAAGCCAACACCCTGCAGAACTAGAGCTTTACTGATTTTCTTTGTGCAGTTAAAAATTAGTTTGGTAATGACAACTTCTACTTCAAAACGTTGTTCTTATTTGTTTGATAAATAATTATTTAACACTTACTATGTGCCAAGTGCAGCCAGGTAATGAGAATGCAGTGGTGAACAAAAGACTCTCAGTCCCTGGCCCCAGATGAACAGATCAGAAAGATAAAACAAAGCAAGTAAGTCAAAGACGACAAACAGATACACACTTTAAAGGAAAAGTACAGGGTGATTGGAGAGCTCACAAGAGAGGAACTTGATTCAGATAAAAGGGCCAGGCAAGGATTTTTAAAGAAGTGATATTTACTCCAAGATACAAAGAATGAATGAAAATTAGTAATTAGTGTGATGTTTGTGTGTGAGTGCTTCTCAGGAGAGAGGGAAGAGCAAATAAATATGAAGTCCCTAAGGCAGGAAAGTGTTTGACATTGTTAAAAGAAGAGCCTTAGGTAAATTAAATTTGACAGAGTTTAACCAGAGAAAGAATCATTTGCAAATCGGGCAGCCCACACACCAGAATAGGTTGAGAGAGGGTCCAGTGCAACCACGTGGTAGACTTCTGGACAGAAAAAGGAAAGTGATATGCAGAAAACGGAAATGAGGTAGAGAAAGGCAGGGATTGGCTGCAGTTCTGCATTTTCTTATTTGAACATGGTTTGAGCAGTTGGCTGCCTGTGATTGGCCCAAACTCAGTAATTGGCACAAGCATAAAATAGATTACAAGTCCTAATTCTTTAAATGCTGTGATTAACTCCCAAGATGTATCTATATTTGTTTGTACATTCATAGAGAAACTTCTGTATTTCCGAAGCTTCTCTTCTTTATGAGTCACTTAAGTGGGAGACACACACTCTTGGGCTAGACAGTGTTTGCCTAAAACCCTTCTAATCAGATCAAAGGGCTCTCACTTGTTAGGATAGATGCTATGGACTCTAAGTCCATGTGCCTGGCTCCAGCCAATCTGTTTCATCAGCAGGCATCTTGGTAATGTCGCAAAGCATGGGAATTCCTTCTGTTTGATGTCACTGACCTCAGCAGAGTGTTTCTGACTTCTTCCTCTTCTCTTTTTTGCAGTGAAAATAAAAAAAGGCAGGGGGCAGTGGCTCATGCCTGTAATCCCAGCATTTTGGGAGGCTGAGTGGGGAGGATCACTCGAGCCCAGAAGTTCAAGATCAGCTTGGGCAACATAAAGACACCTCATCTCTACAAAAACAAACAAAAAAATTAGTGGGAATGGTGGCAGTGCCTGTAGTTCCAGGTACTCGGGAGGCTGAGGTGGGAGGAGCACCTGAGCCGAGATGGAGGTTGCAGTGATTTGTGATGGTGCTAATGCATTCCAGCCTGAGTGAAATAATAAAGACCCGTCTCTAAAAATAATTAAAATTTAAAAGTAGTTTATGGTCTGTTTACACATACAGTTAGGTTACAGTTTGCTATTTATGGAGAAATCTTTAGGTTGAATTTAAAATATGTAAGGAGGGAGATTTAGGCTAAACTTAACAACATTGTGAACCGATTATGGTAAGCCTCGGATGCTATGATGAAGACTTTGGATTTTATCTAAACACAGGAGGAAACCATCAGAGATGTAGGACACGAATCATGTGATGCAAGGAAACTGAGGAAGGGAATTCAAGACTTTGAGGGTAGGACTAACAAGGATTATTTTGTGACTAATCAATGAAATCATGTACATTAAGTTCTTAGCATAGTGTCTGGGTATAGAAAGTGATAAATAACTGAGCATTATTATTATTAACTGTAATTATCTGGGAAATGATTTTTTGTGTGCTTATAATTTATTTTATTGCACTTTAGGTTCTGGGGTACATGTGCAAAACATGCAGGATTGTTGCATAGGGACATACATGGCAATGTGGTTCGCTGCCTCCATCCCCACATCACCTATATCTGGCATTTCTCCCCCGTTATCCATTCCCAATCTCTCTACCCTTGTTGTCCCTCTCTTATTTCCCCCCCAACAGACTCCAGTGTGTGATGCTCCCCTCCCTGTGTCCATGTGTTCTCATTGTTCAACACCCGCCTATGAGTGAGAACCTGCTGTGTTTGATTTTGTGTTCTTGTGTCAGTTTGCTAAGAATGATGGTTTCCAGGTTCATCCATGTCCCTAAAAAGGACACAAACTTATCATTTCTTATGGTTGCATAGTATTCCATGGTGTATATGTGCCACATTTTCCTTGTCCAGTCTATCATCAATGGGCATTTGGGTTGGTTCCAGGTCTTTGCTATTGTAAACAGTGCCGCAATGAACATACGTGTACATGTGTCTTTATAATAGAATGACTTATAATCCTTTGGGTATATACCCAATAATGGGATTGCTGTGTCAAATGGAATTTCTATTTCTAGGTCCTTGAGGAATCACCACACTGTCTTCCACAATTATTGAATTAATTTACACTCCCACCAACAGTATAAAAGTGTTCCTATTTCTGCACATCCTCTCCAGCATCTGTTGTCTCCATATTTTTAAATGATCGCCATTCTAACTGGTGTGAGATGGTATCTCAATGTAGTTTTGATTTGCATTTCTCTAATGACCAGTGATGATGAGCATTTTTTCATATGTTTATTGGCCTCATATATGTCTTCTTTTGAAAACTGTCTGTTCATGTCCTTCCCCCACTTTTGAATGGATTTTTTTTTTTTCTTGTAAATCTGTTTTAGTTATTTGTAGATTCTGGATATTAGCCCTTTGTCAGATGGGTAGATAGCAAAAATGTTTTCCCAGTCTGTTGGTTGCTGGTTCACTCTAATGATAGTTTCTTTTGCTGTACAGAAGCTCTGGAGTTTAATTAGATCCCATTTGTGTATTTTGGCTTTGTTGCCAATACTTTTGGTGTTTTAGTCATGAAGTCCTTGCCTATGCCTATGTGCTGAATGGTTTTGCCTAGGTTTTCTTCTAGGGTTTTTATGGTGTTAGGCCTTATGTTTAAGTCTTTATTTTCTCTCAAGTTAATTTTATTGTAAAGTGTCAGAAAGGGATCCAGTTTCTGCTTTCTGCACATGGCTAGCCAGTTTTCCCAACACCATTAATTAAACAGGGAATCCTTTCCCCATTGCTTGTTTTTGTGAGGTTTTTCAAAGATCAGATGGTTGTAGATGTGTGGCGTTGCCTCTGAGGCCTCTGTTCTGTTCCATTGGTCTATATTTCTGTTTTGGTACCAGTACCATGCTTTTTTGATTACTGTAGCCTTGTAGTACAGTTCAAAGTCAGGTAGCATGATGCCTCCGGCTTTGTTCTTTTTGCTTAGGGTTGTCTTGGCTATGTGGGCTCTCTTTTGGGTCCATATGAAGTTTAAGGTGGTTTTTGTTTTCCAGTTCTGTGAAGAGTGTCATAGGTAGCTTGATGAGGACAATATTAAATCTGTAAATTACTTTGGGCAGTATGGCCATTTTCACAATATCAACTCTTCCTAACCATGAGCATGGAATGTTTCTCCATCTGTTTGTGTCCTCTCTTATTTCCTTGAGCAGTGGCTTGTAGTTCTCCTTGAAGAGGTCCTTTACATCCTTTGTTAGTTGTATTCCTAGATATTTTATTCTCTTTGTAGTGATTGTGAATGGTAGTTCATTCTTTATTTGGCTCTCTTTAAGTCTGTTATTGGTGTATAGCAATGCTTGTGATTTCTGCACACTGATTTTGTATCCTGAGACTTTGCTGAAGTTGCTTATTAGTTTAAGGAGATTTTGGGCTGAGACGATGGGGTCTTCTAAATATACAATCATGTTGTCTGCAAATAGAGACAATTTGATTTCCTCCTTTCCTAATTGAATATGCTTTATTTCTTTTTCTTGCCTGATTGCTCTGGCTAGAACTTCCAGTACTATATTGAATAGGAGTGGTGACAGAGGGCATCCTTGTCTAGTGCCAGATTTCAAAGGGAATGCTTTCAATTTTTGCCCATTCAGTATGATGTTGGCTGTAGTTTGTCATAAATAGCTTTTATTTTTTTGAGATATGTTCCTTCAATACCTAGTTTATTGAGAATGTTTAGCATAAAGGCTGTTGAATTCTGTCAAAAGTCTTCTCTGCATCTATTGAGATAATCATGTGGTTTTTGACTTTGGTTCTGTTTATGTGGGGATTACATTTATAGAACTTGCGTATGTTGAACCAGCATCATCACTGGGATGAAGCCTACTTGATGGTGATGGATAAGCTTTTTGATGTGCTGTTGCAATCGGTTTGCCAGCATTTTAGTGAAGTTTTTTGCATCTTTGTTCATCATGGATATTGGCCTGAGTTTTTTTTTTTCTTGTTGAGTCTCTGCCAGGTTTTGGTATCAAGATGACGTTGGTCTCATAAAATGATTTGGGAAGGAGTCCCTCTTTTTGGATTGTTTGGAATAGTTTCAGAAGGAATGGTACCAGCTCCTCTTGGTATGTCTGGTAGAATTCAGCTGTGAACCCATCTGGACCTGGGCTTTTTTTGGTTGGTAGGCTGTTAATTGCTGCCTCAACGTCAGCCTTTGTTATTGGTCTTCAGGGTTTTGACTTCTTCCTGGTTTAGACTTGGGAGGGTGCAAGTGTCCAGGAATTTGTCCCATTTCTTCCAGGTTTACTGGTTTGTGTGCATAGAGTTGTTTGTAGTAATCTCTGATGGTAGTTTGTATTTCTGTGGAATTGGTGGCAATATCTCTGTTATCATTTTTTATTGCATCTATTTGATTTTCTTTCTTTTCTTTTTTATTAATCTGCCTAGTGGTCAATTTGTTGATCTTTTCAAAAAACCAGCTCCTGGATTTATTGATTTTTCAAAGGGTATTTTGTGTCTCTTTCTCCTTCAGTTCTGCACTCTGATCTTAGTTGTTTCTTGTCATGTGCTAGCTTTCGAGTTTTTTTATCTTGCTCCTCCCTTTCAATTTTGATGATAGGGTGTTGATTTTAGATCTTTTCTTGCTTCTCATGTGGGTATTTGTTGCTATAAATTTTCCTCTAAACACCGCTTTAAATGTGTCCCAGAGATTCTGGCACATTGTGTCTTCATTCTCATTGGTTTTGAAGAACAACTTTATTTCTGCTTTCATTCCATTATTTATCCAGTCAACATTCAAGAGCCAGTTATTCAGTTTTCATGAAGTTGTGTGGTACTGAGTTAGTTTCTTAATCCCAAGTTCTAATTTGATTGCATGGTGGTCTGTGAGACTGTTTGTTATGATTTCCATTATTTTGCATTTGCTGAGGAGTGATTTACTTCCAATTATGTGGTCAATTTTAGAGTAGGTGTGATGTGGTGCTGAGAAGAATGTATATTCTATGGATTAGGGGAGGAGACTTCTGTATATGTCTATTAGGTTTGCTTGGTTCAGATCTGAGTTGAAGTCCTGGATATCCTTGTTAATTTTCTGTCTCGTTGATCTGTCTAATATTGACAGTGGAGTGTTAAAGTCTCCCACTTTTGGGTAAGTCTCTTTGTAGGTCATTAAGAACTTGCTTTATGTATCTGGATGCTCCTGTATTGGATGTGTATATATTTAGGATCGTTAGCTCTTCTTGTTGCATTGATCCTTTACCATTATGTAATGCCTTTCTTTGTCTCTTTTGATCTTTATTGGTTTAAAGTCTATTTTATCAGAGACTAGAATTGCAACTCCTGCTTTTTTTTTTTTTTTTTTTTTTTGCTCTCCACTTGCTTGGTAAATCTTCCTCCATCCCTTTATTTTGAACCTGTGTGTGTCCTTGCAAGTGAGATGGGTTTCCTGGACACAGCATATCAATGGCTTTTGACTTTTTATCCAATTTGCCAGTCTGTGTCTTTTGATTGGGGCATTTAGCCCATTTACATGTAAGGTTAATACTGTTATGTGTGAATTTGATCCTGCCATTTAGATGCTAGCTGGTTGTTTTGACCATTAGTTGATGCAGGTTCTCCATTGTGTCAATGCTTTTTACCATTTGGTACATTTTTGGAGTGGCTGGTAGTGGTTGTTCCTTTCCACGTTTAGTGCTTCTTTCAGGAGCTCTTGTAAGGCAGGCCTGGTGGTGACAAAATCTCTCAGCAATTACTTGTTTGTAAAGGATTTTATTTCTCCTTCACTTATGAAGTTTAGTTTGGCTGGATATGAAATTCTGAGTTGAAAGTTCTTTTCTTTAAGGATGTTAAAAATTGGCCCCCACTCTCTTCTGGCTTATAGGGTTTCTGCCAAGAGATCCGCTGTGAGTCTGATTGGCTTCCCTTTGTGGGTAACCCACCCTTTCTCTTTGGCTGCCCTTAGCATTTTTTCCTTCATTTCAACCCTGGTGACTCTGAAAAGTATGTGCCATGGGATTGCTTTTTTTTGAGGAATATCTTTGTGGTGTTCTCTGTATTTCCTGGACTTGAATATTGGTCA